ATGTTTCCGATTAAAAGGGATCACATGGTTGTATAGATACCAGAAAAATACTTGAACAAATTTCAATTGATTCTCTCCCATTTTTTTCAAGGTATAAGAGCCCTAAGCTTTTGCTCTGCCTTATATTTCAATTACAACAATCTTCATCGTTGCATTCCCACGATCTTACTGCATGTATTGCTAAACTTTCTTCTTTTTCTCCTCTTTTTCTATGTAGCCTTCATCATTACATTGCCGCAAACATTTCCCATTATTGCAGCATTCATAGTTACATCGCATAAATTGGTCTCATTGTTGCATTCTTCATTATTATCCTATTATCGCATTTATTTACTTGTTTTTTCCCTGTGAAAAGAATCATAGTTTCCCTCTCCATAGAAAACAATAACGATATCAACGCGCATCCTTGGTCTCAAGTTATCTTGAAATTGAAAGATGTAATCTAAATCCAATGGGAGATTTGCAAAACATCCATTCACCATAGAAGTTAAATGAAAAGAACTATCTAAGATCATTATTGGTTCGCAATTTCTTAAAAGGAAGAAAAAAATTATCAATTACAAGGCCTAGTAAAATAAAAAAGGTTTGCTAGGAACGCCTAAAAAATCATCTACAATAGGTAAATATTTTAGCATGCTCAAGCAAATCTTCTCTTCTCATGCCTTCAAAATCTCAGAGATGCTCATTTCTAATTCTTGAATTATTGATTCAGGAGCTCTAGATCATATGCCCACTCATCTCAAAAATTTTCATATACTTCTTGTCCTAATAATAACAACAAACAAAAAAATAATGATTAATGGATTTTCAACGACTATAGCCAATTAAGAAGATACTCTTATAAATAAATCTCTGACACTCTAAAATGTCCTCCATACACCTAAATTATTTATCATTATGTGATTCATTTGAAAGCTATCTACAGATTCTAAGTGCAATATTATGCTTTATCTTTCATTTTGTCATTCAAAAATTGGACACAAAGAGGATGATTGAGCTTGCTCAAAAAAGAGATGACCTCCACCACCATGAGGAATCCAATGATCCAAAAAACTACATACAATCTTCAAAATTGGCTTTTATCTCAGAAATATTTAAATCCAATAAAGAAAAAAAAAATCTTACTTCAACACTTGCACTGCGACCACCTATCTTCTATTGTTCTCAAAATTATATTTTCTTCCTTATTTAAAAAAATCAAAATCGGAGAATTTCATAGTGATGTTTGTGAACTAATAAAACAAAATCTTAATAAATTCCCATGAGTGATGCAATATACATTATTCATTTTTCTCTCCTTTATAGTGGCATCTAAAAATCATCCTCTACACCTAACATTTATAAGGTAATTTGTATCCTTTATCAATCATTACACCCATGTCATGAATCTTTTTACTAGTATCATCTTCCCCATCTTTTTCAATACAACAACAACAACATCATCAAGCATTTGTCCCACTACGTGGGGTCGGCTACATGAATCTTTTTTCTCCATTGTGCCCTGTTAAAAGTCAAATTCTCATTTAAATCTAAAAAGAAAGATCATTTCTAATATTTTCTAAACAAGTCTTTTTAGGTCTACCTCTACCTTTCTTAACATAAGTCAAATCTAATACCTCAACTTTCCTAACCGGGTCATCAGAAGGCCTCCGTTTCATGTGACCAAACCATCTAAGGGACTCTCTCTAATCTTATCTTTCACTGGAGCTACTCCAACCTTTTCACATATATGCTCATTTCGTTCCCCATCTTTTTCAATATGATCAAAAATTAATTTGATGTTGAAATTAAAAGAGTCAGATCCGACAATACTAAATACTACTTAAACCATTGATTGTCCTCATACAATCAAGTAAAAGAAATAAAATATGAGTCCTCAAATGATAATACACCCCAACAAAATAGACTAGCGAACAAAAGAATGGCCACCTACTTGCTATCAAAATGGCTCTTCTTCTTTTTTTTTTTAATTCCAAAATAAAATTGAGGAAAGAAGTTTTAACATCCACCCACATCAAAACTAGTTACCAACAAAGATTCTTAGGGTCAAGAGCCATACACAAATCATTAAAAAAAAAAAAAATCAGTTCCCATTTTAATTTTTCAAACAACTTCATTTCCAAAATATTTGGAGGTGTTATCCTTATTAATACACATTCCCAAAATTTGGCAAGTCAATTCAGGTATATAGGTCGGGTTTGGGTCCAACCCGAGTTGACCCGGGCATAAACGGGTTGACACGAACCCAACCTGGTTTTAAAAATGGGTCGAGATTTTCAACCCGGACCCGACTCGCATGAGTTACAGGTTGACCACACTCAACCCGTGAACTTGGAATAGGGTTTAGGTTCCGTCGAGGTTGACTACTCTAGTGCGAGTGCAGGCTTGCGGTTCCGTTGAGCACGAGTCGGCAGTACGTCTAGCACTAGCCATCGAGGTCGACTGGAAATTGGTCGAGCACGAGTGCCATGACTGTTGTCCAACGGTCCGAGTGCAGGCGAGGCATTCTGCGGGGCTGCGAGTGATGGGGATCTGCCGGTCTGAGTAAGGCCCTTTAGGGGCGTAGGTCGGCGTGCAAATACATCAGCTAAGCAGCAACAGCGCGATCGGAGAAGGACGAAGGGCTGGCAGCTGATAGCCGGTCAATTCGGGTCAAACTCGGGTTGTCAGGTTGACCCAAACCCGACCCGAACTATAAATGGGTCAAAAAATAGGACCCGAACCTGACCCATTTCTTTATCAGGTCAACCCAAACCCGGATTTTTTGGGTCGGGTTTGGGTCATGTCAAAATTTGACACCCCTACCCAAAATGTAAGAAAACTTCATCCTCAAGCAATTAAATTTGTTTTTAATGGCTATTATCCAACACAAAAAATGGTACAAATGCTATAATTCCCTCCAAATAAAAGTATATGAGTTCATTGATGTGATATTCAATGAAAAAGATCACTACTTTGTTACTACTTATCCTAGGAAGAAATATCATTCACAAATGGGATTTTTCCCCTAGATAATCCTTCTTAGCCCTCATCCCAATAAAAAACTCATTTTAGAACTAGACAACCTTACCAAAGTCAAGTTTATATTACAACCACGTCTTACTCAACCATGATAGGTTTACGCAAAAACAAAGAAATCTCAATCTATACAAGTCCAATCAATTGAATCAATCCAAAACACTAAATCAGTTAAGGAAACCATTAAGTCCACTATTAAAGGTATACAGATTTTCACTAAATATTCCTTAACACTTATTTTTATACAAAGAACTTTCCCATAATTACCAATCCTTTTGTACTAACCTGCATACCATTTTGAACTTTATCGTCTTTGAGGCTTTAAATAATGTGAATTAGAATAACATTACGAGGGAAGAAACGAATGCTTTCAAAGAAATAAAACATAAGAATTGATAAAATGATAAAAAGAAAATAAACCAGTGGGATGCAAATGGGGTTTTACTGTAAAATATAAATCTGATAGTTCATTAGAAAGGTATAAAATCAGACTAATAGCAAAAAGTACGCCAAATATATGAGATTTATTATTGTGAAATATTTGTTCCAGTTGCCAAAATGAACATCTTAGAGTTCTCTTGTCTTTTAATAACCACCAGAGATTGAATGATATAACATTTCAAGATTAAGAATGTCTTCTTATGTATTGTGACCTGAGGAAGAAGTATATTGGAGGTCCAATCGAAATTTGATTCAAATAAAAAACAAAAGTTATTTCATCTTAATATATATATATATATAAGGGTAGATGCAATCTCCACATGCATGGTTCAAAAGGATCACCAAAGTAATGCTCAGCGTGAAATACATACAAATTCAATGAGGTCATACATTATTTATAAAACACATGGTTTCAAGGTATATTCTCCCCACCGCTAGTTTATGTTGATGAAATTATCATGAAACTAGCATTCAGCATAAAATAAAACTAAGTTTCCCTATTTCACCACTCAAATTCAATCAGCAAAAATATCATAATTAAACGCTAAATGCTAAATTCCTTCCATGAACTTATCGGTGCATTACTCAGTGAACTCAATTGCCTCTCAATATAATATTTTTCCCAACTTTAGAATCCTTCAGTTATAGCATATAGTCAATTCAACTTTGAACAGGACACAAACAAAATCCCAAAACCAGAAAAACGATAATATACAACAACGATCAGTTGTGACAGATACCCACCAATGAACCAAACCCAACCATAGGTACCTCTCCTCCCTCTTACCTAATTCCCATCTTTAATTTAAAAAAAAAAAGATTCTATTTATAAGAGTAAGAGGCCATTTTGACGTTCATAGTCTAGCAACAAAAATAACCCAAAAAGAAATGTAGCAGTTAGTATGTCAAACTAGAAAGAGCATTTTAATACAATTAGCAAAATAGATATTTTGTTTCATGTAATAGAGACAACTACAGAAAATTTCTTCTCTGGAATCGCATAACATTAATTATTTCTGAGAAGCTCCTGAAAAACCCTAAGTGGCATATGAGACTCATTATGAAGAAATAAAAAGTTAAGCATGGAGACAATATATCTTACTGAGAGAATAGCAATATCAAGTAGACATAATCTCTCTTACTACATCATAATTCATATCAGGAGGTTAAATTAAAAATAAAGAAGAACATAATGAGTAGAGCTGCAGCATTAGAACTAAATTTAATGCAAATAAAATAAATATTTAACCAAAAAAAAACATTTGACAGAAGATAAACATTAAAGGTGATTTTTGGTGCAGTTCTTAGTGTAGAAAGTTTGTCACTTTCAAGCACTCTAACACATCAAATGAGTTGCTGCACAAGAAAGCATCACAACAAGAAAAAATTACAACAAGTTTAATGAATACTTGAGTTTGTACTCTCAGTATTCAAAAAGTACCATAATCAAAATGTAAAAATAAACTTCTGAGGAAATGTTTTACTATTAACAAAAGCTGCAAATAAATAGAAGTAATGAAAATTAAGTTAGGAAAACCCACCTGGCGATACAGTGGAGATTGGAACTTAAAATCCACCAAAAAATGTAGGTCACAAGTCCCAGGAACAGGGCCAGGATTAAATTCCCAAATATTAATTAAATGGTCAAATAGTCCAGTGTCCAATGCTGTTGTCTGAAAAAGCACCAGCAATATTATAATCAAGCAGAGATTGCCATAGTGCACCATATTTGTAGCTTTTACATTCTTGTTAGAAAAATTCCAATCAATCAAAACAATGAAGTCAAATGAGAAAAACAGAATGTTAGCAATGTTGGCACTATTATGAGATCATCACTTTACCCAACAGTTTGAAATCCAACACATAACTATGTTAAAAACTAATAGAATCACGGCTACGTTTCAAATCTATGGTAGCAACACGAAAAAAAAAAAATCAATGGCTTAGAGCCCTATAGCAGAGGACAAACTTCTACTCCTAAGTAGATACATATTTCTTTTCTTTTAGGGGTTGTTTGGACCGTTTGGTTCAATGTAAAAGGAGTGTAAAGTATTCAAAATGCAAGGGTTTTGACAATATTAGTGTATAAAACAAATGCAGTGTAAAATTTTGATGCATTCAAAATTCAACCTCTAATTCATTTTTGGTGTATTTGGAATTTCTCATATTTTGGTGAGTTCCTAAAACACTGGAAATTCATTGCAATTGTTGTCGTTGGCTGCCGTCATGCGTCAACTGCTAATTGTCGGCCACCTCCATAGGGCACCACCGCCCGCCATCATGGAGCACCATCATCTGCCGCTGTCAACATCTACCAACGTCCACCACTGTTGATCACCGCCACTAATGTCGACCACATATCAACACCCTCTTTGTACTTTACATTGCATTCATTTTACTTCAAACCAAACCAAAAAAAGTAATCTCATGCATTTCTTTTATACTAGTCTAAACAACTCCAAAGTATTCCTTCTACACTACGTTCTTTTTACGCTGCATTCCTTTTTAGCCAACCAAACAACTCCTTAATTAAAAAGAATTTCAAATACCATATGTATTTTCATAAACACGACTAAACCTAACCATATGCCCCCAAGTAATAACTTCTTCAACAAACAACAAATTATCGTACTCACTAGCCTACTCATCCAATATCGCAGTCAACCATTCATTGGCAACTTGGCATCATTAATATCATCTAAAGAAATCACTTCAATAGTGCCACAATGTCTACAGTATCAAATCAAAGTTTTATAATATTTCACAAAGACTAAATTCTCGAGACGATCATACTCAAACAGTTAAACTAGTTTATTTTTTGGATGGAGCTACAACAAAGTTTATTAAGGCAGTTCTATTAAAAACTTAAATCCACTTAATAAATATAATTGTTTTAAGCTTTGTCTCAGAGTTATGAAAATATAATGAACCCTTCTCCTCCTATAGACGCTCAATTAGGGCTGTCAAAAATTAACATGACATTAAGACCTAACCAAACCCAACCCGAAATTTTTGGGTTAGGGTCAACCCATTTAAAAACAGTCGGATTCGAGTCCCGATTTTTGACTCGTTTGAAGTTTTGGGTCAGTTTCGGGTCAACCCGAAATGACCCGCGCGTTGTCTATTATCGTCCCGATTTCTCTCAGCCTCCCACCTTCCCATTCTACCTCTAAAACACTAACCCTCGTTCTCTCTCACTCTCCACAGCCATTTGCAAAGTCCCCTCCTTCAAAGACAAGAACACAAGCCTCTTCAATCAATAATCTCCCGCCATTCCATCCTTTTTTCTCTTCACCCTTTTTTCTCAAAAATTTCTAAGCTTGGGTTTAGCTCCAAACACCAGCAGCTCTCTGATGCCGACGACATGTGCGAAGACTGCGTCGACTCAGGACTTGATGGGCCCAATCGAAACATTACTTTGCTATCGCATATGAAGCGAAACAAGCAGAATGAGACGGATCTGATTTGCTCTTGCTAAGGTATGGTTCATGAGAGCAGCTTCTATTCTTCCAATAAAATTCTAAAAATTGAACCTTGGGATGTTTTGGAGTGTGCTCATGACCATGAAGATAGATCTGTTAATGAGGGCATGAAGGAGGAGAACGATGATGTCATTGGCCAGAAGAAGGCTGAACTCGGGCGAGAGATTCCTTCCACTCATACTGAAGAGATCAAAGAATAGAAAGCCGAAGGAGGTGAGAATGAGGGTGATTCAAAAGGTGAGAATTTAACTTTAATTTGAAATCTTGAAATCCTTCAGACCCAGGTTGGCGAGTCATGTCGGGTTGACCCGAGTCTAAACCGAGTCGGGTTTGAGTCCCACTTTCTAACTAGTTTTCAAAAATTGGTCGGGTTCGGATCGTGTCAAATAATGGTGGATCAATTTAGGATTCGACCCGAACATAACCCGAAAACCCATTTTGATACCCCTACATGCAACTCATCACTTAATTTCTCTTCTTCTCTATCAAAAATCATTCTTGTTATGCATGTATACAAAAGATCCATAATTTCTAAATCACCTATCATTGTTCGATTGATATAGTAGTATTGCAATTTTAAAAAATGATCAAACATGATTCAAAGAGAGATGGAGTTGAACTTCCCATCTTATATCAATCATTTCAAGAAGCTCTTGATGCTCTTCTTCCTTGTCATTATAAGATGTACGTGTTGCCTCCTTGGTTCCATTCCTTACCTCAGTCATGTAACCCAAAGGAAGCTTTTTCTCAACATCTACCAAGTTAAGGACTTTCAACAAAGGGCCATCCACTTTTAAACCATAATACAAATTATTCTAAATAGACCATGATGATTTGATAAGTTTCACTAGCTTGTAATTCCTTTGTGCAAGTGCTCAAGGCCACAATCTTCACAAGTTAACATCCCTTTCCAATGTGAAATCTTTTCAATGCCAAGAACGTTGTAGCAAAATGAGCAATCAAAGGAGAAATTTGTAGCAAAATGAGCCATCAAAGGATTAACGAGTGACCTGTAATTGATGCATCTTCTTAGGAAAATCAATCAACTTCGACCATGTATAAACGAAACTATACATTGTTGCTGCCTTTTCAAACATACCCTTTAATTTTTTAACATTAAAAATGTCTACAATAATCAATTATATATTATGCAACACAAGGAGTCCAATAAATGTGTGATACTTCTCGAGTGAGTACCTACTTATGAAGCATTAAGACTTAAGATAGAAAAGAATAGTGAATATCAAAAACATAAGTATTTATAAAATAAAAAGTACATAAATCAAATAGACAAAATAAAGAAATGTTAACTTAAACTCTTATTAACTAAACATTCTTTGAGGCATTATCAATGGCAGCTTAAATAACATTGTGGCCATAATTAATCAATATAATTGCTCAACGGCTCAAACACTTACACGGCATTGTTAAAGTATGAGCATAGTATCAACCGATTTTATAAATGCAAGTCCACTTGAACAATCTACTTAGAAGTTCATCCAAGATCCAACTATCAACCACAAAAGTTCGACCATAAAAAATCTTTTATAAGAGGTTGAAATAACTTTTATGTGTATTCCCATGCTATATGCAACAAAAGAAATCAAACCCATAATAACTAGGAGATTTTATTATAAAACCAAATTATCCAAATGCCTCCACCACTACTAGAAAGTTTTTATAATTTATTAAATTAAAGGTGATTCCAACATCATTACGAAGGTTAGAGTTGTCTTATCTCTCATTTCCTTCCTTGTAGCCATGGTTTAAAATTGCGCAATAAGAGGCGCGCCTCAGCGCAATTTCAGACTTTTAAGCCTCAAAGCCTACGCAATGGGAGCTGGCATTGAGGCGTATGCTTCATGTTCACTGAGGCGCGCCTTGAGGCTCGCCTCATGTTTTAGAGGCGTCCGCCTCTTAAAATTTTAAAAAAGCCCTAACCTAATAAGGTTCCATAATTGGTATGTCTGCTTGGTACCGCTTGATATCGCTCGGTATCGCTAGGTACATGTTCGGCACTGCTCGGCAATGCCCGGTACCATTCGCTACAACAATGCTTTGTACCACTAAATATATGCTCAGTACTACTAGGTACATGCTCGGTATCACTAGGTACATGCTCGGTACCACTATGTCGAACCCCGTCAGGGGCAGCACCCCCTTGGACCCCCGGCTGCCCGGCATATTGTTGTATGCATTGCAATTTGTTTTTGGAATTATATGTTAATGAAAATAATATTGTGATTTTGGAAAGAATTTGAGTTGAACTATATTTCATATTGTTTTATTATTGGGATATTTTGATTTCACTTCATAACTTGTGCCTTTTTATGTTTTATATTTTTTGCTCATTAGTATATAAAAAATTTATCATTTTATGTTTACGCAATCTTTTGATTTTGAGGCTTACGCCTCAAAATGCCTTGAGGCTTACGCCTCGCCTCATGAACGAAAAATGCCTCAATATCCGATTACGCAATTTTAAACATTGCTTGTAGCTACTATCTCATTTTGTATTTATCCTATCCTTCTCATTTTGATAAGTGGTATATGTGCCCAAAAATCATATTTTCCTTTGGACCTCTCAATTTAGTGGTAGATGTAGAAACTTTGACTTCCTTATGTAGCCCCAATAACATGAGATCATGATTACCAAAACAATCATCATCAAATGTGAAAAATGATTGATTTGCTCTTTTAGTTCATTTTGCTTATGTGCTCCTGGATTTCAACTTTCATGTGGTGAGGATAGGGACAAATTCTGGCATTAATCTCCCACCCCCAACAAGAACTTATATCTTTTTATTATACCATTCATTATCTTGCGAGATATACACTTCATAACATTCATGTTTTTCTCATTGGGAAGAACGCATATTATCATGTTGGGTCTTTCCTGTTTACATATGAAGAAGTGCCTTTAGATATTTTCCATTTTGTTCCACCAAATTAATTTAAATTTAAAAGAAAAAAAAAATCTAACTTGGAAGAAAATCATACTCCCACATCAAGGGTTCTCGTCCTCTCACATAGACAAGACTAACAGTTTACAAGACTCACAACAGGGGGATGTAGGTTCTCTCACAAATGAGAAGGTTCGAGGGGGCAAAAGCAATGGAGAGCAAGATTGAGGTCTTAAGACATGACTCACTACTGGGTGTTGTCAAGTATCTTATTAACAACATGACTGT